TATTCTAAAGAATTCGCGGATTCACTTATGACTTGTTTAAGAATTACAATGAAATAGTAAGTGTGAAAGTGAAGGCCATATTGGATCATTTCAAATGATTATTATTTGTTAGATTCTTGTAGCTTACTAATTTCTTTATTTAAATGATATTGATATTGCCCTATTGATGTCAAGAAAACATGCTTTAGAAATCTGTATTAATTAAGAGTTTTTGCTTGCACACTTGCATATGCTCCTATAAACTTAAGGTTTAATATTACTTTACTACTGTGACTAATAGTTCATCTAATCAGCAATCTGGGTGGCCAAAGCTATCATACCTGTGACAGTTGATTGACTTACGTTGCTGTGGAAGGCGTTCCAAGCGGGCAAAGCGTGTGAGAAGGGTTCGCGCTCCTCACTGCAGCCGGCGGAACCGGTGATGATCTGAATGGGTGCCTTGGGATTCGTGTACGGCGCCTCGGCACTGCCATTGTACACCTTGAAGTTGTAAATTGGCCACAGGCGAGTGTAGAAATGCTCGTGCGCAAAGATCTCCACATCGACGCCATGCTTGAAGAACAGATCCTCCAGGCCGAACCACTTCAGCATGGGCAGACCCTGGCGGATGTACGTCTCCAAGTCGGCATTGCAATCGTACTCCTTGTCGTCGCTGCAGTACATCGGTCGATGGCCGTACGTAATGATCCACGGTCGCTTGGCCCGATTCTCGGGTAGATTGGCTTCGGCCAGGTCGCGTTCCAGCCATTCGAACTGCTTGGTCAGCAGCTTGAAGCCATAGCTGAGGAAATAGTAGACCTCCGTGGAGAAGGACACAAAGTGCACGGGTCCCAGGTTAAAGCTGTACCACAGGCTGTCCGTATTGCCGGGCATGTTGAAACGGGCACGATAGTTGGAGAAGTTGCTGTGCGAAAAGAAGGTTCGAAATTTCAGGGAGTTACAAATTTATAACACAAATTTTAGGTTAAATATTTTAATTATACGTCCTTAAAATTTGAAGACCATCCAAACAAAATTGACAAAGATATTGATAAATTTAACAGGCTTTTTTAAAACCTTAAAATTTATTTTTAAGTAGTTTGATTTTTTTTGTTTAAAAAATTATGTTAAAAATTGGAAAAAAACATGTTGATTGTTAAACATTTTGTAAAAAATTCATATTTTTATAAATTTTGCGATTGAAGACACATTTATGGGGTCTTAACAACTTTGGTCACCGCTAAGCAGAACCAGAAAAAGTAATTTAAGGATTAAGGATTAAGGATTAATTACTCACTACTTCTCCTCGTGATTGCCTGGACAGACCATGTAGGGCACATAGGCAGCCACCGACTCGATTTGGCGCATAAAGGCATCGCCTACGGCCGCATTCGCAGTGTCCATGTCGTAGGCAAAGTCACCCACATGGATGATGGCGTCGTACATGCCGCGCTCCGTGTCCTGCTGAAGGCGACCCATCGACTGGGCATTCTCGTTGCCCATGTCCCCGAAGATGGCCAACGATGGTGACCACTTCTCGCCCGCCGGCGGCGTTTTGAAGCTGAACACCGTCGACCAGCCCAGCGGACTGCCGCAGCTGTACTCGTACCGGGTGTCCGGCTCCAGATCCTTCAGCACCACATTGTGGATGAACTGGATGCGGGCCTTCTTTCCGCCGTCCACGAATCGCTGCCAGGTGCCGTTCACCGTGGTCAGCTTGTCGGTGAGATAGTTCCGGCCAAAGTTAACCACCGAGGCATTGGGGGAGCCACGCGTCGACCAGGTCACCACAATGTCACGGAGATTGTCTATAACGAAATTAACCAGCTGCGATTATAACATACAACGAATTTATTCTTAAAATAGCAGCGATCATGAAGGGTTTTATATTTTATTATATATCTTCTTGGAATGTGTTTTATACCTACAAATTTATTTATTCAGTATTTTAATTTGGACAAATAAAGAATGGATTGTTTAAGGACCAAAAAAATTATTTTAAATAAATGTATATTATAAAATGGAATAAAAAAAAGACCCGACTAGGAGTATCTAAAAGAGAAATATATTAAATAAAAAAGACCAGCGATTTAAAGGAATCCTGTTCCCAAACTTCCGAGTCTTGAATTCCTAATGAAATAGTTTTTATTGCTTTTATACCTTAAACCACAAAAATCAACAATAAGTGTATTTCTTATTATTGCGTTATCCTGAAAATGTATGAAAACATAATAATACTTTCTTTTTATGTTGAAGTTCAATTAAATTATTGTTGTTGTTGTTATTTGAAAAGTAAGTCCCCTCTGAATTAAAAAAACACAGCATTGTCATAATCATTCTCACTCGTCGGTGGTTTATTTGTATATTTGTATATTCCAATTACATTTGGTAAGAGTATGTATAATATAGTCATATGTAATTTTAAAATATATATGGCGTCCGCTAAGTACTTTTAATACAGGACGGTGTTTTTTTTTGGTCCGCTTACTGCAAATGTGAGAGACTTCGTAGGTAGTTGTGCCCGATTTGAATATAAATAAATACTGCAGCGAATTTATAACACTGAAATTTCAGTTGAGATCCGAACTGGGAATGGGATCGTATGGGCCATGCTTGTCCTTGATCACCCAGAAGCGATCGATGACCTCGCCCTTCTTGTCATCGGACACCTGCTCAAAGTACAGATGCGTACGGTTGTGGGCCTTCAGCCGGAGATAACCAAAGTCCTGGCTGTGAAAGGCGCTCCACGGAGGCATGCGCTTGAAGAACGGCTCCCTACCCTCGTGGTTGCCGGCAGCCCCCGAAATGATGTGTATGGGGGCACCCGGATTCACATACGGCTCGGTCAGCGATCCGTTCAGCACCGTATAGTTGTACATGGGCCACATGCGCTCGTAGCAGTGCTCGTGGGCCCACAGTTCCACGTCCACGCCGTACTGATAGAAGAGCGGCTCCAGTCCAAAGAAGTCCAGCATGGGCAGTCCCTTGCGCACAATGGTCTCGTGATTGGCACAATCGTCTCCGTTGTCATTGCTGCAGTACATGGGCCGATGGCCGTACGTGATGATCCATGGGCGCTTCTGCCGATTCTCCGGTTTGTTCGCCTCAATCAAGTCCCGCTCCAGCCAGTCGTACTGCATCACGATCTGCTTGAGCCCGAACTGGGTGAAGTAGTAGACCTCCGTGCTGAAACCGATGAAGTGCACCGGACCCAGGTCAAAGCTATAGAACATGTTATCCGATCCACCCGGCATGCTGAACCGATTGATGTAGTGCGAGAAGTTGCTGTGGGATCGAAGGGGAAAGTCCTAGTATTAGACTAGCTGATCACCATGCCATCACCGAAGTTCTCTCTTAAATTTAAAACACTGTCTTTGCACTATCAAATATTAGTGAAAATCTATCTGATCTAGTTCATTTTTAGCGTCAAATATATTTCTATGGCTTAGTTATGACTTACTTTAAAAATATTAAAAGTTCTTAGGCCAGACGAAAAAAATTTGTTTTGATTAGAATTTTTTTTCCAACTCAAAGTCAACTTTGGATTTAAGTCTTAAGCAAAGAACTGGTCAAATGTCAAAACTTATTAATCAAGTAAATTATATGTGACTTGCCACTGCAATGGTTTCTACTAATCCCAATAAATATTCAAAAAGTCTCAAAAAAGGCACACTTTAGAAATGATTTTTTAAAAAAGAATTTAAAAAAATACTTTCAACAAAAAGATTTCAGAAATATTTTCAAATTAAATATGAATTTCTGGTTAATTGTTCTATACCACTAATTGGCGCCCAACGTTTGGACGTTATCCTTGCCTTTTGGTCGGCCACTTACTACTTCTCCTCGTGATTGCCCACGCACACCATATAGGGAACGTAGGCGGCTATGGTCTCCACCTGGCGCATGAACTCATCGCCGACCTCCCCGTTCTGCGAGTCCATGTCGTAGGCGAAGTCTCCTACATGGATGATGGCGTCGTACAGGCCACGTTGCGTTTCACGCTGCAGCGCTGGAAGGGATGCCGCATTGACAACACCCATGTCCCCGTAGATGGCCAGCGAGGGCGACCAGTCGCCATGGTCGAAACGCGTCCGGAACCAATAGGTGGCGGACCAGCCCAGCTCACTGCCGCAGTGGTACAGGTAGGTGGTGTTGGGTTTCAGGTGCGACAGCGTCACCTGCGATCGGATAAAGTCAGGTTGGATGTTGAAGGTGTCGATTGTGTTCCACGGAAAGCCTCCTTATGAGTCTCTACCACCGCCTTTTTCTTATATTTCTATATGTTTGCCTTATTGATGATTCATTTAAGTATAATACATAAATTCGCGATACTATTTGTTTGGACATATAACGAATGAAAAATATCAATGCTTGATATGTAATTGATACAAATATTTTAAAAAGGCAACATAATAAGAGTCCCTCAAGAGTCAAAGAAATTATGGATTACTAGTTTGATTTAGTTTTAAACACAACAGTAAAAGTAGTAAAATAAATTATTCGGCTGTAATACAGTCATCAGACTAACAACTTGAGGCTAGTGGTCATAGGTTGAGGGGTTTCAATCGGAACTCTTAGTGCGGGAATTACTCACACGATGGATGTATTGGGTGGCCTTTTTGGCTCCGCCGTCCACGAATTTCGTGGGCATCTGCGCCGCCTTCGCCCTTTGCTGCAGTCCATCGATGCCGAACTCGCAAATCGATTCGTTGGTGTTGTCGCGCGTATTCCAGGTGACGACAATATCGAGCACGGTTTCTGCAGGAGCACACTGATTAACTTGAGGTTTAACACTTCGAATGTCACGTACCCAGTTGACAAAAAAAAAAATTCTGAGCCCACAACGATCCAATAAACCAAAATAAATATCGTCAGCAATTAAAAAATGTATTACTGCTGCGACTTAAACAAAGTTTTGCGAAAATTGGTAATCGAAGCACTTTTTCATTAAAACTGAAAGAGTCAAAGTTTGCTTTTAAGTTCTCCAATGGAAATGCATTTTACACCATTCAACAAGAATATTTGATAGTTCAAGCCATTTATTGTGAAGATACTAAGTATATAATCAACAATTAGTAAATAGTCGAATTGCCTGGACTATTAATACACCCGGTACTTGGATTTAATGTAGTTTTTGGGAATGGACTCACTCGTGGTGGAAAAGCCATATTTTAATACACAGAAAATATTCCTAAGAACCAAATAATAAAAATTTTATGTTATACGAGCATAACATAAGTTATTTAAAAGAAAAAATTAAAAAATTATCCTAACCGGTGATATACCTGAGCTTAAATATCGAATTATAAAATGGCTAAGTCAGAAGTCGACAAGTAGTTAAAATTGTACTTTTATGTGTATTTATAACTTTCTGAGAGTAATGATGGTGAAATATTTGTGTTTTCACTTTTAGAAGTGAGACACTTCTTGTTTTTTGGCAATAAAACCAGGTAAATATACCAAATGGCTAGGTTTGTTTTTAAAAGCCATAAAACTGCTCAAGTGGCTGATGATATTGACAACATATCTAGACATATATTGAACCCGAGTACCAGTTGTAAAACTCAAAGTTGCATACAAAGCAGATAAGAGACCAAGTATAAACTCAAGGTAGACTAGCTAAGTATGCAACTTCAAGATAAATGCACTTAAAAGCGCATGGTTAATGTGTAAATGCTGAGATTGTAAAATTGGCTAAGTAAAAAGTGTAGTTTTTTCCGGGCTGGGGCTGATATATGTAATTGGATAAGGAATGTGCTGCCACGCTTATTGCTACAGTTTGTGATCGAATCAGATTGAGACGAATTTGCGCTACTAATACTGCCAGTTGCTATTGATGCGTGTGATGCCTGAAGACTCCTCTAGCTTGGATTGGATTGGTTCGGGTATGATCGTCTCAGTTCGATTGGACGGGCGAATCCTCAATTTTGGTAGCTGCCGTGCTTGGATTTCACCAACCAGAAGTCATCGATGATGGCTCCATCCTGATCGTCCGACACCTGTTCGAAGTGCAGGTGGGTGCGATTGTGGGCCTTGAGCCGCGTGTAACCATAATCCTGGCTATGAAACGCACTCCACTCGGGTATCTTGCCCTTGAAGGGCTCCCGTCCCTCCTTGCAGCCGGCTGATCCGGTGACAATGTGCACAGGGGCACGTGGATCCTCGTACGGTGATTCCTTCAGCGTTCCATTGCGCACCTCGTAGTCGTAAATGGGCCAGAGTCGCTCGTAGGAGTGCTCGTGCGCCCAAATGGCCACGTCCACGCCGAACTCGAAGAGCAGCGGCTCCAGTCCGAACATGTGGACAAAGGGCCAACCGACCCGGGTGAGCGTCTCCGAGTGGGTGCAGTCGTTGTCGTTCTCGTTGCTGCAATACATGGGCCGATGGCCGTAGATGATGATCCACGGACGCTTGCTCCGATTCTCTGGCAGATTGGCCTTGGCCAGATCCTCGCGCAGCCATTCGAACTGAAAGACCAGAGGCTTCAGGCCATAGTTGAGGAAATAGTAGACCTCCGTGCTGATGCCCACGAAGTGAACGGGTCCCAGGTCGAAGCTGTAGAACAAGTTATCCGTGCCGCCTGGCATGCTGAAGCGGGCGCGATAGTTCGAGAAATTGCTGCAACACGAACGATTAGAGCCTGCTCCTGGGAACTACTCTCTCTCTCTTCTACTGCTCCTACTCACAACTTTTCCTCATGATTGCCGGGCACCACCATATATGGTAGATAGGCGGCCACCGTCTCGATCTGCCGCATAAACTCATCCCCCACGCGCGCATTGTTCGAGTTCATGTCGTAGGCGAAGTCACCCACATGGATGATGGCATCGTACATGCCGCGTTGCGTCTCCTCCTGCAATCGGGCCAGGGACTGGGCATTCTCGTTGCCCATATCCCCGTAGATGGCCAGCGACGGAGACCAGTCGACCGAGGCGGAGGGCACTGTGCGAAACTGGAAGATCGCCGACCAGCCAAAGGCACTGCCGCAATGGTAGGCATACGTGGCGTTCGGCTCCAGATTGCTAAGCGTCACCTAAGCGAAGTAAACTTTGAGTTTCTATCTCTCTGATCTCCCTAAACCGATTTCGAAGTGGGTCGATTGTGTTGTGTTGGTTTTTATAAGCATTATACGAGTATGTTTAAACTCACAAAACTAATGTGCTATTCCGATTCCATGTCCAATCTAAGGTTCAATGAACGATAACCATTTAAGTTTTGTTTTATAGTAAATAAACTGATTAACCTCTAGATTTTGAAGCCAAATAAACAAAAATAAAAACGATAACGGCCAGACATACCTACTTAGTATGTTTTATTCCCTCTATTTCTATTTATTGAGCATAATTGTATTGCAGCTTTTGATAATATTATTAAAACATTATATTTTGCAAACCCAATTACTTTATCTTTATTCTAACTATTGTTTTACAATTTAGTTAAGAATATACTTGTCTTTGATAAAATAACTAAAGCGTATTTAATTTAAAAGAAGCAAAAAAAAGCTTAGATTTACAACCAAACTTAAATTGACCTGTTGATGTTTTGTATAAAAAAAAAAAAACTTTGGTAAATAATTAAACATAAGAACTACCTATCAAATTTATAGAGTTATGTTTTAATTTGAGGAGTAAAGTTTCCTAATAAACAAAAATAAATATTGAGCCAAGCCTTTGTCTAAATCGCTTTCCCATACAAAAAAAGGGTCCTTCGAGCCGGATATACTGTTTGAAGACCTGAAGAAATCACCATCCAACACTATATCGACCCACTGATTTCGGTTAGGTTCACTGTCATACCCTGTGGATGAACTGCGTGGCCTGTTTGCGGCCGCCGTCCACGAACTTGGTGGCCGTGCCACTGGCGTGTTGGGTGAGTCTGGCCTGTCCGGCCACAAGCTGACCGTACTCCACCACGCTGGCCGCACTAACTTCCGAATCCGGCGGCAGGCTGCGCGTGGACCAAGTGACGACTATCTCGCTATCGGTGCGTTCTGGTCCAGATCAAAGCGGATATCGGGGAACGGGAGAGCGGAAAAGAAAAACAAACTTGAGCAATTTCGTTTGGCCAAAATTGTGATGCGATTCAAATAAAAGGACAACAAACAATCGCCCTGTTTCCAATTACAATTTTTAGTCAACTTGGCACAAATGTTGATTGATTTTACAGATCAATCTGCAATGTGCTGTTTTTTTTTAAGATTTCAATCAAAAATAGATACTTAAATACATTTTTATGTGAGTTTTTCGAATTTAAATAATATAAATATTAGTTATACTGAAAACGGAGTTTGCACTCTCATTTTTATCATATAATTGAATTAGTTTTTTTTACAAAACAAATGTAAATTGGTTTTTATTCTGTAACGGGAGCAGGGTCGGGGATTCATTGAAGACCAAATGTTATTTTAGAATACTCTATTTATGATTTGTTTTTCTGCTAAGCTCTTTTGTTTTTGTTTCTTATCGCCTCCCCAGAAAAACTAGAACACAAAGCACATATGACGATCTTCACCCTTATCGGTAATGGGGCCCCACAGGGAGCCAAAGTCTATGACTCGTTTCTGGATTTCAATTTGCTTGCCTTCCGAATGCATTTCAGGGTTTCTATGTACGTTTGCCAATGCCCACCTTATCGTACAATATAGCTGCACCCGATAAAGAGGATTAAAGCTATTTTTGGGGGAGTCACCAAAATACGACTTTATTTGTTCGACAATCACATCACATAACGATCAAGTTTAAGGTTAACTCAATCATATTTGCACAAAAATATATATATAACGTTGTTAATCTGTTTACCTTTTTATCAGGATTGTCGAATTTATTCATAATGATCATTTACAAATGATCACAGATAATTGGAAATTAACCAAAACTTATCTGATACTTTTGATCTCAAAAATCTTAATTTATAGAGTATAAAATATATTATCAATTAAAAATTCAAAAATTTTATTTACTACACAAATCTTTGTTAATGTAACCAATATGTAATCTCTTAATGGGAAATTCTGGGCTCTTAACAAGCCACACAAATTGTTGTCCTCAAAAACTAGTATTGCTGACTTTTACAATTGTTTGGATGTATGGAAATGTTAGAAAAGCTGAAGATGCTGACCACTTTTATAACTGATAATGCATTTGTTTTGGGAATAATGGAACTTCCTGGTTTTTTTCTACTTCCTCTGCTCTACTTCCTATTTGGCATTTTTGAAGATAACGAAATAAAATTGTTTATAAAACATAAAAATGCCCAAAAAAAAGTACAGCTTTGATACCAGCTTTTTTAAACAATTTTTTGTTATAACTAAGCTAATAGAAACCGTTTTGTGAAATAATTTAAATGAATAAAAAAAATTTCCGTGCGAAAATCATAAAATAACCATTTGGATTATAAATTGTAAACGCATTTGCAATCATAAGAAGGGATGAGTCTTGACTCGAAAGCTTCTTAATGGAGACAGTTAATCTGGGTGGGATCGATAATACTACTGATATCAAACGATAAACGCCCGGCAATTGCGCACTTGTATCGTCGTATTACACATATATATACAGGTTTCTCATATACTATGTATATAGCAGCATTTCAAATAGAAATTTATGTTTAAAATGTCAATTTTATTTTAAATTTTATAATTTAGATTTAAGTAAAAATTATATAAAAATATGAATACATGGAGCCCTACGCTTTAACCATCTTATCTGAACAAATGTATAACTAATGATTCAACATTATTATTTAATTATATGGAAATGTTTTATATTATATATAAATTTCAATAGAACCCACTACCGTGTTTCTTTCGGTGTGGAACACACGAATGCAACTGTACAGGTATTTTACATAACGCCAAAATCGAAGCACTCACCTCCAAAGGCCAGATGCACTTGCTCCGGCTGATAGTGGACAATGTTGACCTCCTCGGTGGACACCTGTGCGAATCCCAGGGCGACCAGAACTGCCAGTTGCAGTGCAAAGTGCAGGCGCTGCATTTTGGCTGATTGTTATTGTTCCTCGATGGGTCACAAAAGCAATAACATTGCCTAATCACAACTGCGTCGTTGTCAATGTTGTTCACAAACCGATGGGGAATTGATTTGGAAAGCTGCAAACTCGACAAATTCGCTTGCGGGAACAACAAAAAATGAGCAAAATATGGAAATATCCAGTACTTTATAGATCGCAGCAACAAAAACAATCCGGGAACAGTGTGACCTTGGCCGGCAAACATGCAAATACCAGAAATATCGATTGTTCGCAATGCCGCAACTATCGATAGGCTGCACTAGTTGAGCGCGCGTTTCAAACTCGTTTGTTATCTTTCTACAACGGATTTAGGTGTTTCGGAAACATATAGCAAAGCGGGAGATGTTGAAAATAAATTTTGAATAGACTTCAACTTGTTAAAACCGAGACTGGTTATAAAAATGGTTTTACAACGTTTTAACATTTAAATTCCTCATACAAAATATTTTAAGTTGTATTGCCATTAATGAGTTTTGTTATTAAACAAGCATGTGAAAATTTTTTAAAATCTACTATCAACTCAAAAGACGGTCAATACTGTTGCAGATTATCTTTATTGTATAACAGCATGTGAAATGATTGATGGAAAAATAACATACGAATCGAGATCCTTTGTTGGTCTCAATTGAATGCTTGAAAGCATGTGAATTGTTTTGTTCATATAAGCCCCTTCTTAGCAACAAACATAGAGCAATACATATATATTCTTCATATAGTTTAGGATATGCATACAGATACAGGATAACAATAGAGAGAGAGAGAGAGAGATAGTTCTAAAAAATACATAACACTAGGATAACTGGATATTTGTAAATAGATAACGGATAATATTAGCTATAACAACTAAGGGACTTTTGGCAGCCTTATCGACTAATTGGGATACAAAACAGTGTCCCCTTGGACATGGACATATACGAGTTGGCAATACAGCATATGGATTACGGCTTACTAACTACTTCTCGCCACTGGATCCGGTGGGGCCACCACCCGATCCCGCTGCTGTGCTGGGCATGCTGCTTTTTCGCTGCGCCTGCGAGATCTGCACGATCCTCGAGAGCGGCGAATGGGTGCTGCTGGTGCTGGGCCTTGTGCCGGCGGGCAGGGGCAGCAGCCGTTGGGCGGATGTACCTCCTGCGGCTCCACCTCCTCCTCCTGACTCCTCCATGGCTGTTCCCGCTGTCGAGGCGATTGCACCTCCACCTCCACCGCCGGTTGGTGAAGTGGGCGACAGTTCGCGGGCCAGTGGCGATGGACGGAGCGAGAGGCGTCGCTGCAGCGATGACTGCTCCGACAAGCTGGCACCTGGCGGTGGCGCCTGTCCAGGTGGAATCTGCAGAGCCGTCGGACGAACGCTGAAGCGACGACGGAACTTGCTCTGCCCGGAACTTTGGGCATTCGATGGACCGGAAACGGAAACGGGAACACCATTTCCAGCACTCTGACTTTGACTCTGACTCTGACTCTGAGTTCCGGCTCTTTCGGTATAGCTGGGCGGTGGCTCCAAAAGAGATCTAGCCGCTCCTCCCGTGGGCGATATGCCCACAATGGTGGAGCGACGGGCATACAATCGATTGGCAGCCGCCGCCTGCAAACTTCTCGTCTGATCGCCGGCAAAGAGCGACAGGATGGGTGGCAACTGTGGCGGATCCAGTCCCGCATTGCCCATCTTGCGCTGCTTGCGGCTACCCTTCCTTGAGGCAGCTCCTCCCTCGGCCGCCGCCTGTTGCTGTTCGTCCAGCACGGCATGCGTGTGGACCACCTCGAGGGCACGGATCAGATCCGCAATTGTGGTCTGCTCCAGCACGTTCATGTCCTTGTCGGAGGTCACCGAGAATATGCTGCTGCGACGCGGGGCAGAGGACGCGGAGGCCAACGAGGATGGCGAGGCGGTGGCCGGGAAGAGGCTGCCACGTCGCGCGGCCACCGCCGCCATGGCCGCCGATCCGGAGCCACTGGTGGCCAGGCTGCCGCGCCGCATCTGCATCTGGGCCAGCGCATGGGCGGTGGGCGGATACATGCTACCCCGGCGGGCGGATGGTGCCGGATTCTGGGTGTAGATGCTCTCGCGTCGTCGCTTTCCGGCCGCCAGCCTGCGTTGATAGGCTCCTCCTGATCCAGCTCCTGTTCCAGCTCCAACTCCGCCCAATCCCGATGGCGGCGTGGCTCCATCTTCCAGCTGGAAGCCCAGGTTGGTTAGCCCGCCGCTGGCCAAACTGCCATTGGATGCAAAGGGTGGTGGCGGACCACGCCCGTTCCGCAGATAGAACTGACTGGAGGCCGCCGTGACCGTGTTGCTGTAGTATTCCAGCGGAGATCTGGCCTGCTGCGAGATGACACCCTCGGGCACCGACACCACCGACAACTTGCGCTCCAGATCCTGTGACGGCCGTTTCCTCTGGAACGGAAACAGGCGGCGCAGGCCATCCGGCATGGAGAACTTCTTGACGCGACCGCCCGCTGGCGATGGCTTCTTCAACTGCTCCTCCAGCGCATCCGGCTCCAGATGGACCATGGTCGCGTTGGCCTGTCCGTTGGACCGCATGTAGCGCTGATTGAAGGCCTCCTGGATCTGCTGGTTGTCGCCGCTCCACGTCCATTCGTTGTGGCTGGAGCGCAGTGGTCGTTCGCTCTGCCAGTGCGGAGCTTCCAGATTGAAATCGGAGCAGGCTCGGGCACGAGGTCGTCGCGGTGTGCTGAACTCGTTCACCGTCGAGAACGACCATTCGCTGGCCAGGATCTGGGAGTCGGAGAAGCCATGATAGCCACCGTATAGGGCCGCATCCTCTTGCTCCGCCGCCGGCGGTGGCTTCACCGTGGCCAGAGCACTGACCACCTTGGCCAGCAGATCGGTGGTCTGGCGGTATGCCTCCGCCGTCTCGAACGTCTTCTCGCGATCCAGTTTGCTCAGCTCCGTATCGGAACTGGCGTGCACCATCAGGCCGGCATCCCTTTGAGCGGCAGCCAGGTCCGCGCACACGGAGAAGGCCCTCTTCCGGCTGGGAATGGGTGCCGGCTCCATCCGGTACATGCTCAGATCAGGACACGAGGCGGAACGGGGCAGGGTGTAGGCAATATCTAGGTCGGTGTACACGGGCTAAGAATGTTAATAGGGTATTTCCACAATGTCGGCATAAGTTCGTCGTCAGTTTGGGAATCGTTCGATAATCATAGTCGCAATTATTTTAAATTGTATTAAAAGTTTAGTTTCCAGTTGTCAAGAGAACCATTCAAAGTCAATGGAGTGTAGAGTGGTGTTTGATGTTGGACATGTAAAAGAAAATAGTTTGCATTAGTGTTAATACATTTATCTGTGGGTTCTTCTGTCTGTCGAGCTGAGCTGGGCTAACACTGTCTATATAAAATATCGAAATCGGTTTACAAAAGTCCTCTAATAGTTACTTACTTCTGCTGCTCTTCTCTTTCTGCTCAGTCTTAGCCTTATTCTTCGACCTCTTTCTATTTCTCTTTCCACAAAACTAAAACAGAGAACATCGGCTATTTCAGATTCTGGTATATGTTTAATAATATTGTCTAATAGGAACAAATGTGGATACCGCTTAGTCAGACAAGTACAAGTAAACATTGGTACATGGTGTTCCCAAGGGAAATACTTCGGAATAATCAATGCATTAGGACAAACGATGTTCCCAATTAGGTTAGTTGGCCGTTTAATGGTGCACGTCTAGACAAAAGTGCAGTTTTACATCAATAATAGATTTTTATGTTCAATATTACAACAACTTTCGAATAAGCCCAGTTAGATCTTATAAATATAACTATATGTAAATTTCCCAGGTTTTAAATTTCGTTTAATACTGTTATCCTCGCTTTTCAAGCATAAAATCTTTTGGTATAAAAAAAAGTAATGGATACTTTTAAAAAAGGTTAGTGTTATTAAAGTGGAAAACTTGGATTTAAATAAAATATGAGTAAAATCCAGTTAAATAGTAAATAAATGTATGTGTAAGTTAATACAGTGACCTTATCTAAAGAGCATACGATCACAAAAGCGAATCTGTAGCGATAGATTTCAAATTTGAAGTTTTTGCCTTTTTTTGTATATTGTAATTTGTAACAATAATAACTTGATGTTAGTTTAATTTATATCAAGACTTGCTTAAAAATTCCCAGGTTAATGAATTTCAAGACAGTTAACTAAATTTAGATTAAATAGTGCTATCTGTAACAGATTTGAAATCTGTAAATATTGAGTGCTAGCCCATTCGTGAGTTTTTCGTGAATGATGAGAGTCGTTTACCTTCACTTTGAGGATGTAGAGCTCGTTGAGCATTCGCCTCAGGTAGCCCACATCCTTGGTGACACCTGTCCAGATGCGGTTCTGAGTGGCCTTCAGGTTGGAGGACAACTGCTGCTCCAGATACGCCAACTTCTTGCTCTGCAGACCCCTGTTCATGCCGAATGTCGATTGTTAAATGTGTGTTTTTATATGCAGCCAGCGATACAGAGAAAAACAAATTGCGTTAGGTCATGCAAAAGGACACAAAACGTAAGTCAGTCGAGGACATGCGATGGTTTTTGATGCAGCCCACTTCACTTACCGGGTTATAAATGTCATGATCATGACCAGGTAGCCCAGGGAGAAGATGAACCACACGATCACAAAGATCTGATAGACCACAAACCAGCCGCCAAACTCGCGAGGCTAAAAAGGAACCCCGGCTTAGTGATATGGGCAGGAATACTCGTTCTCCGGACTCTAAGGACTCACCTGATTGGGCCCAAAGGTGGGCACAAAGTCACCAAATCCTATCGTGGTCGTGGTCACATAGCTGTAGTACAGCGAGATGGAATAGGGCCAGTCCTCAAAGTAGGTGAACACCCACGAGGGTAGCAACAGAAACAGGGCTATGCCCGGTATCAGGGCAATCACCACCGTGGTAATCAGTCCCAGCTGAGGTGGCACATAGTGCATATCCGTCGACATCTTGTACTTTTTGTATCGCCTGTAAATCGCTTCGAACTGGAAAGGAACAATTTCGATTTTTTATTGTGCGAAAATATATGGGATAAAACTCGTTGAAAATAAAACTTATTTACCTAAAAATTAAAGGATGGGCTTTATATATTTTATTATATTATTTTCAAATATAAATATAATGAGATAAAAAACACTTTATACTTAGCATAGCCGTATATTATTACTTATTACTAATAAAAACTAGTAAAAATTTTTAATTTAAAATATTATTAGTCGATCTTAGAAAGCCAAAAGATTTGCAAAGTTTTCTGCCTTTCTTTTTAAAAACAAGAGATATGCTTTTGCTATTGCTTTTCTTAAATATTGTATCAAAGAAATAAAAAGAAGTTTTTTAAGTAGTCAACTTACCGTACGACCAAAGTACTCGCCCAGGCCGGCAAAGAGGATTCCGTTGACGGGGATTCCAATCACCGAGTACACAATCATGATCATCCGTCCGGCGAAGGTGGTTGGCGATATGTTGCCATAGCCCACCGTCGAACAGACGGTGAAGGCGAAAAAGAAGGCGTGGTAGAAGGTCCACGTGTAGGGGGTATCATCATGAGCCGGCGGATTCGTTACGGGTTTTCCACAATAATTCGAAATCCGCTCGAGAATCTCGTTCTGAGTGCTCGCGTTCTTGTCGCCCAGCTCCTCCAGAAGATATTCTGCAGAAGTAAATAAGAGAGTGGATCAGCATAGTGAACTTTCATGCCTGATCGAGCGTGAAATCAAATTAATTTTAATTGCTCCCCATTGTGGTTCACGTGTCCAACCGAATCCGATCCGGATGCAAATGTGCGACCGCCTGCTAACCTTCCGTTTTCCGCTGCAGAACAATGGGCATAAAAGTTGCCGGAATCCGAATGGATTTCCTTTCATAACGGGGAAAACCGTTACGTTTTCAGAGATCGCTAATCGTCACTGGCTCAACCCCCAATTTTCTACGGCGTGCTATATTTTACACATAAACAATTCGATTTTAGCAATTTCGCAAACACAGAAAAATAATGCGATGACTTTCAGGTGAAACATAGAAATTATCAGAGGCTTAAATTAAAGTACTATAAAATTATAGTTCAAATAACAAAACATCCTCTTATAGTTATTTCTATCGGATACTATCTAAACGTTTTTTTGGTACCAATTCCATTATGAGTTACATTTTAAGACGGCATACATGAAGGCGACATTCCAAAGGTTGTAACGAATAGTTAGTTTTATCCCAATGTTTCATATAATATTATGGAACTTCAAAAAGTCACAGACTTATCAAGGAGTCCTTTATTTTGAGTTCCATTTGAAACTAAGTTCCTATTTCCTTAGCAGAATGGCATATATTCTGCATTATCTGCAATCTGACATATCTCTTCTAAGAGTCTTTATACACTTGAACAATCCTGAAAAACTATATTTAAATTGTCAAAAAACATAAACTGACTAAAGCTATTTGCGTTTTTCTATGTGCATTGATAGCAATAAACAATCACCATCACGATCATGACCTGACCCAGACGATCTTGTTTCGGTTAATTGAAATGCGCTGGATGAACGACCCCGTCATTCACAATGTGAGATATTTATCAAGCAAATTAATTGTGATCGTGGCCGGAAAGAACGCTTAAGACGATCTTGTTGTAGGTCAGAAATGTAAAGCTTTGATGGGAATTGACTTCTCAAAATTAATTAATTAAATGCAATCTTAGGGAAACCTACACAATCAATTGAACGCTTTGAGACTGACAAACGAATAAACATAAAATGGCTGTTCTTTATAAAATCTGATTTTCTGTTCAGCTTGAAAGTTTCAAAGGAAATCTATAAGGACTTATGAAACTATTTATATATATTTTAATTTTTTGTAAAGTACAAGCTTATCTATCGATTGTGATATAACAAAATTAAGAATAGATTAGATGATTGCACAATCTTAAAATAGCTAGGGATTATCAAGTTTGGTTGCAATCTATTAGTTATTGACTATCACCGAATGCCTATTCCTATTCCTAATGTATGATTATTCTATTGAATGGTTATTAAGTTCATTGATTAATCCATCAACTCGAGTGTGTAGCGATTAACTGAGGGGATAGAACTGTTCTAACCAGATCGAATGCTCTCTAACCACCTGTGATCCTCCAGATTTCTCTTATCAAAACCAAACCAAGTACAAACACTTGGCTGCTACGTCAGTTTGAGATGTTCATTACTATCGGCTGTCTAACCTTTATGGCCAAGTTCATTAGACTCGAGTCGAGAACTCTGCTCGGCGGCAATCATTTCATAAACCCTGAGCCTTGTGCAAATGCCAACCAATTTGAGGCCCCTGGGTAATCTTTTAACGAATTGCATAATTCAATAAATGCGTCCGGACTCCGGAGGCAAATGCCCATTCAATCCAACAAAGGGACTTGCAGTGAAGCTCAGTCTCATCCCTCTGATCTCTGATCTCTGATCACAACGGGACGCAATTGGGGGCAATTCAGAGATTAACAGCCACAAAATCAACCGTAGAGCACTATATACTCTATATCAGCCATATAGTGGGACGAGTGACGGGCACAAGCTGTCACAATTTAATCGCCTTTGTTGGTCCCACTGGGGATCTTGATTGCCGGCAATTTGTTCATAGAAGTCGATCATTATCTCGAATTCTTGTAAGTCCTCTCGACTCGCTGCCTCTCTAGCGGTGGATTCCAGGGCGTTTACTCTGATTATCTCGGTGATTGAGTGCGGCCCGGAAAAGTTTGTGGCAAACAAATTGATAAATTAATTTAATTAAAGCCGACAGTGAGGCTGCAAATCAGCAGGCATTACAATCGGAGTGTCCAATCATCAAACCATCCAAGGTCGAGGTCAGTCATGCATGGCATTTCGAGGATCGTTTGGGACCTTGTTCCCTTTCATCTAAGGTTTATCATAGTTAACTTTCAAAAGCGCAAACCTATTTCTTTGAAGACATTTAACAACGTTTCGTACCCCATGTATAAACTACCTACTTAGTTATATAAATTGTTTATTAACAAGTATAATAATAAATCATTCCGTAACCCTCTAGTTAATATCCCATTCTATATTTTTGAAATCCCTAATTCTCACGTCCTGTTCTGATGTTTACTCATGCAGTAAAATCAGATCAGGGATTGAAATATCATTTGGCATGTCTTTGCGAAAATAAAAATCCACATAGCTTAAATTTTTAATCGCTGTCAGCTAGTAAATTACTTTAATTCACTTGAATTTGTGCTGTTATACTGTGAGACCGATTGCACTAGGTGCACAAATTTGCGAATTATTTGAACTATATTTAAGAGTAGAAGAAGAACCTGTCTTCGAAAATTAAGTGACTCAAAAGGGATTTTAAAACCTATGTAATAATCCCCAAACTTCCGATCACAGATCAATCACTCAGCTGAAAATTCGTATGGGAGATCCCTCTTGGTATTGTCATTTGGCCCGGTCACCTTATCGGGTGTCAATAGCGCTACCGTAATCTCACCATGTTTGTGGACACCTGAAAGTCATCGGCATTTGGTTGTGGTCATAGCCGATTGTCCAACTATTTTAACCCATTGAAGTGTTTTCTTTTGTTTTTTAACGTTTTCCGAAGTCGGCAGTGATTAAGGTGACTTTGTCCAGTGGCTTTGCCTGCTTACATATGCATACAAATATTGACATGACAAGTGCGGTGTCCAATCGTGGATTTCGAGGCATTAGCTAAGGGCTCAATGGGGCCTATCACATATCCTTCCAAGTACTCGATTGCTGATCGAAACCTTGACTGTGCGTTACACTTATGCGAGTGACCTACAATCTAAAATTAAGCTTTTTCCTCGGCCCGTGATCGTGTATCGTGAATCGTGTATCGTGTATCAGGTAAGCCTCTGATTCAATCCGTTACGATCCACACACGTCTTGGGTCGATGGTTACTAATTAGAGCGTTTATGGGTTATTTATTTGCATAATTAGCACATTTTATGTGCTATTTAAATTCGGATTTATTGCAATTGAAGAGGCATTAAAATAAATACATCCGAGACTGCGGCTCGATTTAGCGTAGATATAATCGCTCTCCACACTGTGAGATATATGTGTCTGAATATAGAGGTCGCGTTGTCTATGAGGCAAACAGCCCCGTTGAGTCGTAAACCTCACACTTTCCTCCTACATTTACGCACGTTTTGCCAAAAAATATAAAACCGCGTTTTTATATGTTAACTTTGGGTAAGGGGATTTTTAACCCTATTTTTCATCTAGATGGCTTACTCAAATTGTACTGTTTGAAAATACTGAAACTGAGTTTCCAATAATACTTTCAAATATAATTATAAATATTCAAATGCCCAGTTTTCAATATGTATAATAATTATATGAGTTTGTTTAATTGATTAACATCTAGAAATCCCATTTTCTACAAGAGCATTTCAAGTATGGGACATTCGAGTTCTCATATACAAATCTTTGCAAACATCATTTTAACGAAAGCGTTTTCTGAGTTCATGGACCTTTTATAATGGCTTTACCGCCAAAAATTTCATTCAGGAATTCAAGAGCTTAACTTTGACTAAAATAGTATGTCCGAGACCACGAGCCACGAGCTGAGGAACCACAACAAGTGGGTGTCAACGTATCAACCGATCCGACATGGGTCTCGACATTCTAGCGAAGTCGTGGGCGATCATTTAGTTGGGTTCGTGGCGGGATCACATGCCGATCCGCCGTGGATCGATCCAGATCACGCGGCTACTTATGACTATCGGGGTATTTTTAAAAATTATTTTTCTTTGGAAGCTCACCCACCGTTGATTGCAATTTGCTCCTTGCGCACCTCGGTGCGCGTTATCTTCTCCTCGCCGTGCTCAATGTGGTAATAGATCGCAGCACCGAACATCAGGTAGGATATGTAGAAGACGAGCAGCAGGATCCATCGATTTGGCGACATGCTCGTCGGGGTGTCGCACTACCTGAAAGGACAGCAGCTAAAGTTTCCAAAATCCCGGCTCGGGATTTTCGGATCGGTTAAGGACGAAGGAATCGGAATCGGAATGGGAATCGCATTCAGTACCGAAATCGATGGCAGATCTGTGTTTTGGGGATTCGGATTCGGTGGGATCGCGCCGCTCTTGTTGTCTGTCGTTATTTATGGTTGTATCGCTGCTAATCGAAGCTTGATTGCGATTGCTCAAGTGCTGGCCAGTCGCTCTAGTTGTTGTCTATATGTGCACGATAGGGGAGAGCAGATACCGGACTACACGGTCTCATGCCCTCCGCCTAAAGTTACCGGTCTTATGCGTTTCTTGGTAACATTCATTCATGGTATTAGGCATATTAAGGCATTCCCTAACTCATACAGTAACTATTATTGGTGATTGTTTTTTAAAGGAAGTAAAAGCTAAGGAATGGCAAGTACCTACATATATTTTTTATTATCGATGGACCATTTTCTTGCGAATTTAAAGGGACACCCCCTTTGCTTGGCTTACTGTTGCTTTAGACCTTTTGATCTTTAAAACCTTATTACTATCAGTTCAGGTTTTGATGTCTAAAAGAAATAAGACCCATATGATCATACCCCCTACCGATCAATCCCCTCTTTTGATTTTAGAAGGTTAACTCTTTGCTTATTGATCTTTGTTCAACCAATATACATAGTCTTTTACAAAGTTTCTATTAATTCAAAAGTGTTTTGTCGTCTAAAAGGAAGTTCAATATTGTAGATAATACCCCCTATCATTTACATTGTTGATTTGAGTTATTTTGAAATCTATTTTTGGAAATCCTACTCATATCCTCAATTGGGTAAAGAGCATCACACCTTTCGGTGTGTTTGGTTTGTTCTTGTGCGAAATTCCTTTGCAAAAAGCACGCGCTCTTCAATCAAAAGCGGTCTCCTTCGCCGGCGATCGTCATCGCTGGAGTAGTCCGCTCAGGAGTTTGCCAAAGCTCCGACGGCGTCGTCATCGCTCCGGCTTACATCTATTGACACTTCTAATCATATCGCCGGGCGGACCAGGGCATTACCGCTAATTTTCCACGATTTCTCGCGGTGCAAAGTAGTCCGCTAACGATTAGCGACCACCGCAGACGTTGCCCTCCCAGCACTCCAAAAACGTATACCCCCTACCCCATTTCCCGGTCGCGTCTTGGCACTCTTATCTGCAAAATATAGTGTGTTTGTGTGTGTGTGTGTGTGTGTGTGCGAACGTCTGGGGATCAGGGGGCCAGGGTTAATGGGGCTGCTGTGGGTGTCAACCGACTCGTAATGTACCGCACTTGGCTGCCAATTAGCGATCGCGAATGCAAAACACAACAAGTCGACAAGCCTGGCTTCCAAAAACAAAACTCTGATCAGGTGTCAAACGTTTGGCGAGAAATGTAGTCATTAGCTAATGATTAGAGTTCTTGCCACACCACAAATATAAACTGTGCGGAGTTTTAGTCACCTCTTGTTAATACTTAATGTCTATGATAAAAGCACTTGATTACATATCGCTTAGGCAGTAAATTAAATTCATGTACAATGGCTAAAGATCTTACAATATCATGAAGCATTAGTCAGTCAACTGATTGATTGCTAATGGACTATTGATGGTGAAAGTTCTTATAAATATCATCATAAAGATAAACGTTTGGGGGTGCTTAAGTCATCGGTCCTGCAGATTTGTAGTTCTTACAATATCATAAAGATAAAGTTGACTGCATGGTCGCCCTAATGAGTTCATGTTGGGGTAGTTCGTGTGGACTTTACGCGCGTGGAATCCCCCGCCAATTCACGTGAATCGACCAATTCTCTTCAGTTGGCTGCGGAACCAGCACGGTTCTATTTTCAACGCCACTTTCCTATCGCATCGTATCGGTAAAGTCTTCTCATTACACGCTTGATTACATTGGGACAATTCGAATTGTTTATTCCCGTTGTTCAAGTCAAGTGATCGCTGATAACGATTCTCCGGAGCTTTGGTTCTGCAACAGCTTTAATTATTTAATGTTATCGTTCTTACTGTATAATTTCTATTAAATTATCTATGGAGTAGTCTTGTGTTTTTATTCCATTTTGCACTTTTTTTTTTTGGGGGGGTTCCATAGCCCCTATAGCAACTACAACAACTAATACGACCACAACAGCGACTACAATAATTTGTTAACAATAAAAAAAAAATCGTCTATTGGGCGCGTTCCTCGAGCACTGACTGGCTGGCGATGACGCCGTTCAATGGAAGTCTTTTCATTTATTGTGTTTCCTTTTTTATGTATTTATTTATTCCGAACAAACATTTCGATGACGCTGTGTGTTGCCAAACGATCTTTTTAACGCTTTTTTTTGGGCTTGCCCCCTGGAATTCTTTTCGAGTGGAAATTTCTACCAAAAAAGTTTGCGGAAATTACTAATTATCAGGGCAATAATGCTGGCAAAATCCGTTAAGTTGTATCGTCATTTAGGAAGTTTTCCTTTAATATAATGAAGGCTTTTTGAATTTAAGGATTTATAATTGATTGTTTAAAAATGAAAAATTGGAGCTCACAGATTGAAAGTTCAACGATCAATATTAATCTTGATGAGAAAAGAAAATAGTCTCAAGACCCAAGTGGTTTCCTTAAATATTTAACAGATCTGTGAAAATTTCGCGGTCACCCACGCCCCACACCCATCGTAAACCCATAAAATGGACCCACTCTTTATCAAGCCGAACCCAAGTCAAGCCCAAATCACAAATGGCAACAACAACAATGATAAACATTCGATGATCATGTAAATGAATTAAGTCAATGTTTGACGTCAAGTGGAGTAGACAACAGAACATTTAATATGGCAATAAAAGCGTTTACTAATTGATAACCCAACGGCTCCAGTTCATGGAAATTGGGGGGCATTTGGGGAAATCTCCGTAGGATCAGTTGATATGCACGTGCATCCCAATGGAGCTGACCCCAGAGATCCGTGTTACGTGCAGAATTGGGGGGGAAAACTTGGCTCTTATACACTCGCCGTAGATTTGTACGTACGTACGTATGTATGTATATTATGTGGAACAAAATTAATAAATAACAAAATATTTACATATACCGACGCTAAATAGTCGTATAATCAATAATAAATAGCAGCAACTGCAAAATGAACACGTTTAGTAAATAATCGCAAAAGTCGTCAAGCGTCAAAAGCCGTGCTTTTTTTTTTCATTCGTCGAAAGGCGGGCGAAATGGATGGTGAAAATCTCAGGGGGGGGAAATTAAGGAACAAGAATGGGAGGCATTGTGCCCCGAAGAGCCGGAATCTAAAAAATCTGGGTGGAAATACCAGGCGGGCCAACGGTTTACTGATGAGGCTATTGGGTGCTAATGATGACATTGTTTTACAAGCCGGTGCGGCAAGATGATTAATTGAATTGCGATCTATCAATGTCTCGTTTCCTCCGTCAGACTCGTCATCGTCTTGTGCTCTAGTTACTGCTTCTGGTTTTCCTTCTTGTGATAAGACTACCTCAGAGCCCAGAGCTATACACGACAATTAATGACTACAGTTAAACTTAAGGTATAAACAAAAAAAAAACGGGCTGAACTAATTTAAGGAAAAACAAGAAAGAAAGCAAACTTCGGCAAGCCGAAGTTCATATACCCTTGCAGCTATTGCAAGAATTAAACATTTTTGAAAACATTAAAATTATATTTTACTTGCGTATAAGTTTAAAAACATTGAAGCTATGATGATTTGCAGCTCAATTATTTGATAGTTATTTTATATTTTTTTATTGTTCCTATGGGAGCTATATGATATAGTCGTCCGACTTTGATGAAACTTAAACCGTAAATTGGAAATGTTTAACCATTACTAAATGTCGAAGAACTAAACAAAAAATTAAAAAACAGAAAAAATATAATTTTTTTTCATTTATTTCTCCGATTGTTCCTATGGGAGCTATATGCTATAGTCGTCCGATTTTGATGAAATTTTTACCATAATTCTGAAATATTTAACCATTGCTTTATATCGAAGAACAAAACAAAAAATTAAAAAACAGCAAAGTTATAATTTTTTTTCAATTATTTTTCCGATTGTTCCTATGGGAGCTATATGCTATAGTCGTCCGATTTTGATGAAATTTAAACCGTAAATCGGAAATATTTAACCATTACTATATGTCGAAGAACTAAACAAAAAATTAAAAAACAGCAAAGTTATAATTTTTTTTCATTTATTTTTCCGATTGTTCCTATGGGAGCTATATGCTATAGTCGTCCGATCCGGCTCGTTCCGACTTATATACTACCTGCAATAGAAAGACAACTTTTGGGAAAGTTTCATGCAGATAGCTTTAAAACTGAGAGACTAGTTTGCATATAAACGGACGGACAGACGGACAGACGGACAGACGGACAGACGGACAGACGGACGGACAGACGGACATGGCTAGATCGACTCGCCTAGTGATGCTGATCAAGAATATATATACTTTATAGGGTCGGAGATGTCTCCTTCACTGCGTTGCAAACTTCTGACTGAAATTATAATACCCTCTGCAAGGGTATAAAAATTTAAGCTTGTTTCAATATATTCGAACTAATGCACCAGCATCTTTTAACATGTCTATCATACTTTAAGAAAATGTAATACCATTACCGGTTGAATATCTAAAACTGTGACGAGATTACATGTTGTTGACCGTAAAACAATATTGTTTAATTGTAACATACATAGTTGCATTTTTTACAGACCAACTCTTTAAACCTGATAAATGACTTGACTTTAGTTATGTAAATTTGTACCTTTAACATAATAATTTCAAATTAAATCAGACATTTTTATAATAATAATAATAGTACCGAATTCAAATTTTCCATGTAGAATACTCATTTTCTGAGATTGATATTTAAAATTTTTACAACCTTATTTTTTGAAAATTATTATGTATTAATGTCATTCATAGGCTTCAAATAAACACTGAGTTCTTTAACGCTCTGCATTTGTGGAGGTTCCACTGTAAGTCTGTCAGTCACATGTATTGATGATTGGATGGTATCCACCACCCGCTAACTGAGTTACCAACTTAGTGATTGACGAACTGAGGGGATCAACTGTTAGGCCATATTTGCTTATAACCAAATGCCCAATGATGGATGAAGTTGGCCAATAAGCCTAGTGCAATCGCAAGACTTCTTGAGCCCTCTGCCAATAAACTGATCGATAACAGACTAACGGTAAATTCGGTGCGTGTGTAAGTGATCGTTTTGCATATAGCAACAACAGTTAAGCAAACACTTTTGCACAGTGAAACAATTTCGTTAATTAAATGCATTTATACTACAAATACCGTAAGAACGTGCGGCACAAATTGATTTACCGGATTATGCACAAACACTCGAAAAAAAACTCTGTTGAAGTTTCCATCTGTTTTTACATTTTGGTTAAATATATTTTAAAAAAATTAAAATTTGTTTACTCAAACGTAAGGTTAAATTTCTAAAAAAAAAATGAAAAAATGAAAATATTAAGAAAAAGAAATTGTAAAAGAAAAAAAACTGTACGGCTCTTTTTTTTTGCCAAAAACAAAGCCTGTGTGATTATGCGTGGAGGAAAGGACTCTATGGGTAAACTCCTTAAAGGGTTTTATAGGTTCATTTCTCAAATCGTAAAGGGGTTTATGAATGAATTGGGAGCCTTTCCGGTTTCAAAATATTTTCTTCTATGTTTCTCCAAATAGGTTTGCTTTTGCCCCGAGTGTATTCAGCCATATAGACAGCGCGTCTGAAGTGGAGCGCACATGCGAATCTGAATCTGATCGTCCAGATTGGACTCAGAGGAACTCTAACCTGTGCACTACGTAATCGTTTCGATTCCGGGGCGTGCAATTCACTGTCCGGCCGTTGAATTGCCCTCCTACTTTCTTCGTGGCCCACTCAGATAACACCGTACAAATACAAGGTGACCACGAGAAAACAACACCAACAAATAATGACAACAACACGGATCGGAGGGGATGGCGATAATGTCTGCACTTCAGTGATCCACGTTTGTTGTTGACAAGTGCACTGATTTTAAATTCATTTTTTTTTTTTGCAATTAAACAAATTTTTGCACCACCAAAATCTTTCTTGTTCTGCTCCACTGTTTCGATCCTTTCGTTTCGTTTCGTTTCGTTTCACTATTCCGATCCTTTTCCTTTGTTTTTGGTTCACTCTCAGGATACCCACGATCAAAAATGGATGAAAAAAAAAAACACTCAGGAGAACTTTTAGCGTTCGTTAAGTTCTTTGTTTGTTGTTGGACGGTTGGTCAGGTGAAAAGGAAAAAAATCGCGAAATACTGGAAGGAAAGACTGTGCGATCGCGTCGCAGGACCGTTACCGTTAAGCGGCACACGCTGAATTGAAGCGCTGCCAGCAGTCGGTTGACACTTTTTGTTAACGGTGACGGCGGCGGTGACGTCGCTCCGTCGCTTCTCGATTCGCGATTCCCGTAACCGTTCTGATTTAAATGGATCGCTACGCTCCAAGCTCACGTCTGTTTCCAGTCTCTGCCAGCGTCGGCGCTGCGGCCGACTTCGCTGCCCGTTGCCCGCTAACCGCTATTTCTGTTTATTTTTCGCCTTTCCGTCGTTTTCGGCAATTTCCAGCTTAAGGCCGAGCTTAAGCCTTCCTTCTCTTTCCGATTTTCCAGATGAGTACCGTTATTCCAGAGAAAGAGTGAGAGAAAGAGGAAGGAGTGTTTTTGGCAACCGAATGACATGAAAATTGATCAAAACTCAAACAACCGGAGCGTTAAAGCCTAGAACTGCTTGGTAATCGAACGCGGTATTAAGTAATTGTCCCACCTCCTTAAATTGCCCACCGATGGGTTTATTTGTGTGGTATACACACACCTATGTATGTATGTAGTACGTGTGATCTGTAATCCAGTGCTCACTTACTTTGAGCGCTTCGCTCTTCACGGGCTCCAAAAAAAAATAAGACAGGCCAAACTCACTCAAGAAATGTGAGAATGTGAGTGGGTCTTGTGTGCGGGTGGGGGGACCCCCGCCCCCTTGCGCTCCACCTCGCATCCCTGCACTAACTAAACTAAACTAAATCAAGTCGAAACGACGAACGGCGAACGGCAACTACGAAATTCGCCAGCACAGTTCAGCCCAACCAACGCCCCCCAACAATAACACCCCCACCTCCCACCTCCGATCGTCGCGAAAAAAGAGATACTGTGTAGTAACCAACGGAATACGGGGCAGCACAGTGGAACAAATCGCCGGCAGGATGATTACACTGATATTTATAGAGTTCCCCAGCTGAACAAATCTTCATAGAGTTCAGATGTAAATTTGCGTTTGCAAAGATAAAAAAAAAACGGTATTTCGATTTATTTATTTCGAAAAAAACCTCCATTCAAAAATGTTGTTAATAAGAAATAAGTTTACATTACTTTTACAAAATTACAAAATGTATCTAACATAAATGAGTCAAGGAATTGCCAAAAATTAAGATAAGGAATTTTTATAAAACCAATCAATCCCACTTTAATTATACAACTCGAAAAGCTTCTAGGAGTCTTGATCTAATCAACAAATATATGAATCACTTAATATTTTAGTAAATTTCCAAGCCATTCAAAAAACCCTGAACAATTTTAATACATGTTTCCGATAAACTATAAAATTTTGTCGCAACATGCCCATTTCACCTACGTCAAAAAAACGCCCTATAACTATTTTTATCTGTCTTAACAGAGCTGGACTAATTCAGTAATCCAATAAAATAAATTCGGCTTTAAAACAATTTTAATTTCGAAACTATAGAATACCGTAACTGAATGCTTTTTTAGATATTTTAGCTTTATTTTTCACCCAATAATTTTATTTAAAAAAAAAAATATATAAGTTCGGAGACTAAAAACTATTTTTAATTTAAATTTTAAGTTTTTTTCTTCCGATTATCTTTTTGATTTATAGATCACAAATCACTCGTATCCCTTATGAGTGTTGTATTATTATGTTTTCCGTTTGATCGTCATCTTGGTCACTGACTTTTTTAGAAAAAAACCCCAACCCAAAGTGGACCCACAAAAGCCAACCCATGGCGCCACCGCCACAGCCACGGCCACGCCCACCGACAAACCGTCAAGCCCAAAAAACACACCTAAAGTGCGTTGTCAAAAGAAAAAAACAACCAAAGCAACCACAATCACAATCACAACCAACGTAAATAATTTGTCTACGGATTTTAGTGCTTTATGACGGGCACTAGCCGAGCGCAAACTTAAATCGTTGAACGGCAGACGAACCACCCACTCCACACCCACTGAACCACAGAACTCCGATTCACCTGGTAGCACGCTACCCCTCATCATGCCTACCTTGATCTTGGGAGCTTACGACGCCTGATCCTGCCCATCGAAAAAAGTATTCACTGTCAATTCCAATGTCAACATGGGCAAAACACTGCCCATGGGCACTGATCAAAGTGAATATGTTATTTGCACCAGGTAACTATATTGCAACGTATGACTAATTCCACCGAAGGGTTCATAGTTAACTTATTTTTTAGTAATACCCACCTTTCTATATCAATATTTATCAATTGTTTTAAAATTTAACTTAAGTGTACATATACTTCCTATAATCATATACATTTTTCTTATTACACAAAGATTGGGATTAAATATACCAAATTTATAAATTGCATTTTTTTTTCCAAAAATGTTGTATTATTCAATACTAGCGTTTTGGTGATCCAGAGCTTGAACTAAAATAATCACTTACACAAATTTATAATATGTAATCATATATTCTAAAGTGATCAGTAATTCAAATACAGTACAGCTTTTAGATCCTTGATTTTTTCGCTGATTCTTTGTGGGCATAGATTTTTGTTGTTTAGAACAAGAATTTTGGAATTCTTTAAAAATGAAAATGTTGTTAATCAGATGTTTAATTTAGATTACTGATTTAATTCATGATCTTGGGTACAAAATGATTATATTTTTTTGTGGGCAAAGTGAGCAGGACCTCCCGACCCACTGTGCATGTGGAATACCTGGAAACGGACGAGGGCACGGAATCGAATCGAATAGAATCGAAATCTAAGGTGGAATTGGAGAGCAGTGGAAGTGCAACTCAGACCGCTGACACTTGACGATCAGAGTTAAGTTATCGCCGCGCTTTTTGCTCTCTTCCTCCGTTACCCATTCCCATTTCACGCTCCACATTTAAGATTCTCCGCCGATCGATCTGGATTTTGCGACTGCGGCTGCCAAGAAAGAGAGAACGGAGAAAGCTCAAGAGAGCAGATGAGAGGAGATGAAGATAGCAGAGCCCTAGCTCGGGGCATCGGATAGTCGGGCACAATGATGGTGTTAATAATAAGTTCTTTTCACTGGATAAGAGTGGGCAAATCTTCTCAGACGTCGACTGAACACTGGACGAAAACACTACCAATATATTAATGCAATTATGGAATTTAGAATATATATAAAGAATAATTTTTCTTATCATAATTTATTAATAACTACAATGAAACAATAACAATCATAAATTTTGTTGGATTTAATTATTAATTTATTTCTGTGGTAGATAAGCCATTTCGCCCACTGTGCACAAAAATCACAACTCACGATCATTGGAGATCTATAGATCATCGAAAATATTTAGTCTTCGATGTGAGATATGGAGCAGTGTTGACAATGACTCCTCGGATTTTAGTTTATGAGGTGAAATGCATAAGATTGACTATAATTGGTCAACTATTGTCAACACAAACGTATGACAAAAAACTACACTGAAGATAAATATTGTAACTCAATAAATAATTTATGGTGTAATATTGAGTTCCAATTTTTTTTTGTCATTTAAAATTTTAAAGTTAAATTTCTGTTTTAGGGTAAATTTAGAAACCTTAGTGATCAAAATTATTTGACCCTAATAAATCGCTATGATATTTTATAAAATATTAATCTTGGCTGGTTTAACACTTTAAATCTCAAACAAAACTGTCTAAACTTAAATTTCACATTTCAACTTAATTGGGATTGTGATGATGGATCACATACTTTATCATTATTAAGCAGTTGAATAATTTTATAAAGAAGTATATAAACTTAATACATATGAATTGCTTCAATTTTATTTCTTTAATTTTCGATTTATAGTTCCCCGCAAAAATATATATACTTTAATGTTGGGCGAGTGCTCGTATGTATTTTCCACGTCATGGATCGTATTTGACCAACTCCCCTTGCCCTTGCGGAGTGGAAGATAGCCCCCTGAACAGTTGAGTTTGCCCCCCAAATCAGAGCGGGCAAATACGACTCAACGAGGTGCTAAAAGATCCCATTTGTACTCGATCACTGGAGCCTTTAATTGGAAAGATAAAGCTTTTGCGAAAAGTGTGAGTTTTCGTTTCAGATAAATCCAGAGTGGGCCAGAGCGCAAAAAGAACAGAGAGAAATCGCTCAAGGCCCCCAAATGTTTGAGTCGGAACCCCAGAACAGACCCATATTTAAATTTTATAAATTGGCACCTGATTCATACATACTCGTACTTCATACATTGGAGGTGCATTAGCCAATGTTGATAAGCATAATTAATTACGCTGCAAGTACGCAGCTTTGATGTATCGATGGAACCGCCACGGTGTTTCGGCTGTCATCGCAAAGTGGCCGTCCCAAATCCGAGTGTATTTAAATAAATTCAAACGAATTGTAATTGATGGGACACCAGGCCCCTGAAAATTTCATCAAACCGTGCGCCTTTCTTGGATGCCGCCGAATTGATCGATTTAGCGCGCGGTTGGACATTTGGTGATGATTTAGGCGCCCTTCCGGTTGACAAAAAATGTACATCAATCAACTACAAGATTGATGGATTGTAAGGGCACCTATTCCGGCGAAACTGCTTCAAGGAATGCGATTATCCTATAACCCAAAAACTTGATGGCAAAAACTTTGTGCAGGTAGGCGTCGTTGGAAAAAAAAATCACATTCCCTTTTTAACTTACTTCACTTACTTAACTTTACCTTTTGGATCTACTTTAAGTACATCGTCGAAATGTAGTGTACTCAACAATTTTGGTTTAATAAGGGTAAAAAGAGTATTTCTCTTATTTTTTTGTTAAAGCCTTTAAAATCCTTTCGTACCTAGAATCGGTTTACTTTTCAGTTGTCCATGGAAATCTTCAGTATTTGATTATTTTAACATGATATATTGGTAAAAAAAAAAAGTAGAATATTTAAATGATAATCATCCCATGATGTTTTTACTTATTTAAAATTTTTTTTTAATTTTTCCTTTCATTTTTAACCTTCTGAAAATGTTATTTAAATTAAAACAATATTTAACATAAATTAAATGCATTTAAATGATATAGGAACTATTTTAAAACTATAATTTTCCACATTAATTAAACAATTTTAATATTAAATCATGCAGTTCAATACGCATGTAGTATTTAATATAATATTTTTAATTCAGTAGTCAGCTATTTATTTGTACTA